GGTGAAGATCTTGCAACCTCCAGATGAGGTTCAGCAGAGATGAAAAGACTGACCGACAGAGGGATCCTCCATCGACTTAGTAAACTGTCTCTTCCATAGAAACCAACTCAAGTCATAGGTTATTGAATACATCAATGAGTAGAAATTCCCAAAAAAGGGGAAAGGATGATTCCCACCCTAGCCAGAATCTGGAATACCCCAACAATCCTATAAACTCCTAAGCAGTAAGGGACAAAAGAGTGTTGATGAAAGGACCCTCGGCATAGCAAGCAACTAGGACACGGTCTCCTGAGCATTCCACAAATGGGTATGCTAGCAAAAGATAGATGGACTAAGGTCACCCATTGCAGTGGGACTGCCTTCTAGGTGCCTTTTAAAAGTTATGGTGTGCCACATAGTGAAGAACAGTTAGCCCGAGGTGTGGCAAGGCCTTGCATACTGACAATCCTGAGCAGCTGATGCTGAAGAGGGTCGTAGGAGCTATTCTATGTAGAAATTAATTGTAACGCACTGGCAAAGCAGAACATCCCCCTCATTGGTGGAGTGGGGAAGTTTGGTGGAGTCGGGCAAAACCCCTATATAAAATTGACATATGAAGCCAGAGATTGTTCAAACAAATCTGAAGCTAGTTGGTCCAGATGGCTTGATGTATCAGGTGTTACTGATCTTATTGATACTTAAGATCTCCTCTGTATACTCTTTGAAACAACATATAGAAAAAAATTGGGTTTTTGTTGAGAGGTATAACACCAACACTTGATTCAGTTGATATAAAAAAATATATTTATTTTACACATATACAGCATAAAACCATGTATACATTTCATTGAATACAATCTAAATCGAATAACATTTTAAGCAGACATTAAAAAACAAATTGCATCCTAGTTCCAATTCATCTTGTTAGACATTGTATTCAGTAGGGAGTTCCATGTATCCAGTCCCTACGCATTTCGCATATTGCTTCCTCAGGGGAACATGGATCTATCTAATCAGAAATGTATATGTATTTAGTCTTAAATTACTTCATCTACGTACAAAAATCCATTTTGAAGTCTACACACCGGAAAGAACTGTGCTCTTGGCGGCTACACCGGACAGAGGGACACCCATCACCATCGTCACCCCCGCAACCCAAACACCTCTCACTTACCACCCTATGGAATTCCCGGATGCGAACAGGATTCCCCAGATTGAGTGCCGATATGGATAGAAATCCCACCGCAACCACTCCGTCCGGGGGGTCAATTTGGGGGCCACAAGAGGGGGCGCTTCAGGACTGAACAATTTGCGGAGGGTCGCCTGTGCTGAAGAATTAGTTACGCTGTTAGGTTTGTATGTGTAAGATCATGTATCCTATCGTGCATATTCATATCCATATATATATATAAATATATATCTATATGTATGTACATATTCATAATATATATATATGTATGTATGTCCATACTCATAAATACTGTGTGAATGATTATCCCCAGTTGGCTTGCTGGTATTCCCATTTCACCTAGTGAACCCCTATGCCATCCATATTAAGTGACCACTTGTGAGTGTACTCTAATAAGTTCCTAACGTTCTCCCCCTTATTCATAGGGATAGAAATGTAGGTTCTTGAATAGAAAACCTTTTCAAATCAAATAGATATGGCACAAAAATGTGTGAGAGAAAATATGAAAAAACTATTCCAGTGATTGGCTGTGTAAATAATTTTTTTGTATATATAGAAAGAAATTTTACCATAAAAGTATAAAATACATTTTTTACTATATATGGGAAGGGGTATGTGTTCCCTCCATATATGTTTGTATTCATTATTCTAAGTGTGTAATCATATCAAAGTATTCATAACAGTGAGTTAAGTGAGCAGGTTCACTGAGAGTGAGTATAACATACTCCCACTTCCCAGCGTTACATCTGCTTACTTTTAGCTAGTGCTTCTTTTACTGTGATGTGCCCATATGAGTATCCCCATAGTTCTCTTGCCTCCCCTCCTTTCGCACACATGTGTAAATGCCTCTAATGAGGCCAAACCAATTAGTTGCCACCGCAAAATAATAAATTAAATCCCCCTCCAAACACAGAGAGGGGGAGGAAAACCATAAAAAAATGTTGTACATATGTGACTGCCCCTCATTCCTTCATGTATCTTATGTGTAGCTGTTCATTGCTAGTATCATTACCCTATCAACTAACTCTGTTCTCAGAGTTGTCCACATACCTGTCGCTTTCAAGTTGAAGAAATCCAGATTACACAATATATGTGTTGCGTTCGTCCGCTTGTAGATCCCTCTGATCCTAGGTCCTCGCACCTGCGTCTCACCACCACTGTCCATCTCTTCTGCCACCCCCTCTTAAATGGCCCCCACCGCGGACATGACGCCCAACACCTGAGTGTGTTTTGGACGCTCGTCCGCGGTGTGGACCTCAACTGCGCATGCGCGCGATCCCTGCGCATTGGTGTTCGGGGCCCGCCGTCGCCATGACAGCACGGGACCCCCAACCTGTATCTCCGCCTCCAATCAGCCCCCTGCATAGAGCGAGCTGATGGTGGCCCAAGGGTTCAGATCCTTGTTGTTTCATTCCCAATGACATTTACTAATGTCTCTTCTCTCGTGTATGTTCTACCTTATTTGTAACTGTCGTTGAGGTCCAAAGGTCCCCAATTTGCTTGACTTCCTGTCCTCACATCTACGTCCCACCCACCTAGATGGTTCAGATGGAAAATAAGGGGGAGGGAGGAAAAAAACGGGGGGGGGGAATAAAAGGATTTTGGCATGATTTTAAAGCACACATATATCAATTTCCAATTCGATCCCGAGGGGTATCTGCACGGAAAGCCGCCACATAAGCACATATCTCCCCGTCCCCGGCCTTCAGACATCAAAAAATTGTTTTATATTCTGTTCTGTCATGCATATATATCAGATCAATTCATTTGCTCTTAAATGAGGTATATGGTATTAAAAATATAGCCAATTGTAGTCAGTCACTGGTACATACATTGGTCCAATTAAGTCTATTCGATCAATTACATTTGTTTGAAAATGATCCAGGATATAAGACATAATTAATTATCACTACATACGTCAATTTTAGCATAATTAACATCATTGTTTGAGGAACATCCAATTTGTCGTCAATTGATTGCTTTTTTGTATATAAATATATCCCACCCACGACATCATCACCCATGGTTCGTATTCCAATACAATTAGCTTCTGTTGTTGTGTGCACTCGATTCCTATTTGGCACTACTCGTCCTGTCTGGGCCCTTGGTTTTATAAGAATGGCCTATAACTAAGTACCTCATTGAGACCCGGGGGGGTGGTGGACCTCAGTCTATATATCCATCGGGTCTCAGTCTGTAACAGTCTTTGGTCCACATCACCTCCCCTCATGTCTTCATGTATATGGTCTATGATGTAGAACCGCATAACAGATGTATCAAAGTTATGACGTAGTCCTACATGCCTACTTATGGGGGAAATCAGCTTGCCACTTCATATTAGGTATAGGTGGTTGTATACCCTCTTCCATATAGGTCTATAGGTCTTTCCTATATAGAAGGCCCCACATGTGCATTTCATTAGATAGATCACATTTGTGGTGTGGCAATTGATTGTATGGTTCAATTTCCACTGCCGACCATTAGGCAGGGAGACTGTATTGCCCTCCTCAAACCACCTGCAATAATTGCAGTGTCCGCATCTTCTAAACCCCTCCCTCCCACATGCCGATCTCTGTGAGGATGGCGCATAGAAGCTGCGGGTGACCTCATCTCTTATGGACCTTGCTCTTCTAAATACTATTTCTGGGGTATCTTTGATATATTTCTTTATGATGTCATCATCAGTCAGAAAATGCCAGTGATGTATACTCATCAATATCAATTTGGTGAACCAAGCAATTATCTAGCCTATTTCTAATATTTATCTTTAGTACCCCAAGTTTCTCTTTCTAATAATGTGCATCTATTCACTGAAAGCTTATGAAATAAATATAACACTCTAGATTATTGTTATGTATTATTTGCAAAAAACCCAATAAATAAAAAATTTAAGGAAAAGGATCTGGATAGCTCCACAATGCAGAGCCCATTGCCCAAAGGTCACATTCCAGTCTAGCCCTGCAATTTTTTGGTCCAGCAGGGTCCAGTTATGGCCTCCAAAGTTATTGCCCAGGATATGCCAGTCTGGAGAGCTGTTATGTAGAGACTGCAGCTTTTTCAAAATCTTGATCGAAGTCACCGAAGAAAAAATGAATCTACAAATGTATCAAAATATCTTGATTGAATAAAAAAGATCTAATTTTAGCAGAGGTGAAAAAAAAAAAAAAAAAGAAGGCATGCAACTTCCTAGGACACTAGCAAAAAACGGAGGCATTACGATTGGTGTTATACAGGGGCTGGCCTAATATTTGTTTGCCAGTGTCTCAATCTCATGTAGGTAGCAGTATAATCCAATTGTCTAGAAACTTACTAAAGTCCTGTGTCTCTCAATGGATGACAAATAAAATTCAAATTTTTGTCATCTTTTTAGCTTAGCTGTCAATTTATGTTCAGACCACAATTCCAGAACATCAGTCCAATACTACGACCTAGCTACCTATCAATTCCCTGGTACGGAAGGATTAAATAAGATGAGAAGGTTTACATAAAACTAATGAGTATTTAGTGAATGAAGAACAAAGTCAGCACATAACATCCTGGGGCTTTCCCGGTCAAAACAGCATGTAGCATCTTAAAAGTACCTTAAATATAACAGATATCACAAACATATAATTTACAAACAAATGGTATATTAACATTTTATTTAGTAAGTCTTAATATAAAAATGTACAGACTTTTCACACCGCACCAAAAAGGTTTGCAGAAAATACTACTAAGCCAGGACACCAATCCTTTAGACATAAATAAACCCAATGCAGTATTTTCTGAATTATAATGGCAGTGAGAAATTAGTTTACTCGTGGAAGATATAGCCACTATTAAATGCTTATTTTTAAGTGCTGCCACCATTTGTTTCCTCCTCTTCATCCCACTCCACCAGGTCCTCATGTAGTTCAAAGTCCAACTCCTCTTGTCTATCAGAGTCCATGGCACTGACCAACAAATAATCCTGTGGGCTGATGTCATTCGCAGACCATTTCTGCGTTTTCATTTTTTTCCTTAGTAAACTCTGTTTCTTAATTGCTGCAAGTTGTTCTTTCTGTCGCTGAGAATGTTCATTGCTGTCAGTTACAACATCTATGGCTTTCATTTTTTTCTTGTAAGCCAAAATTTGTTGGTTGAGCTCTGCATGGTCAATACCAAAGATACTCGGTAGCTGAATCACAGTAGCTTCTTTAAGAGATTCTGTATCCAGATTCCTTAAAACAAGTAACAATAATTAAACATAACATAATTTTATAGTCAGCTTTACCCAAAAGATAGATTTCATTTTTTCATGGCTGATGGCAAATGTGATTACATGCTGGTTTCCGATCTCTCAGGAACTCCAAAAGAATTCCCTTTTACACTCAACTGCTGTGACCATTACAAAGCAAAAATATTGGTGTCAGAATCCAGAAGTGAGAGGTATGCTGTCATTACGATCTGGAATCCCCAATATTCAAGAAGCCAAAA